GCTATCCGCTACCCGCTACCCGCTATCTGCTGAATTTTAACCGCTGTATCAAACAGGCCCATAATACAAAAGAAAGGAAATGCCTTGGCCTCTTATATACTTATATTCCATCCATAACAATTTGCATTGAATATGCTTATTACAACATTAAAAGATTCATAAATTTTTTTTATTAATAATTTTTAAATATTTAAAAGTTATATTGAATTTTAATTAATTTTGAGTTGAGTCACGTTGAACCCTATAAAAAAGAAGTCCTCTTAACATCTATTTTTTTATTTATAAGATTTAACTCAAAACCTTATTTAAAAAAAAAATAAATGTTTTTTTTCATTTGAACCAATAAATCGATATATATTTTATCCTGTTGCACTTTGGTTTAGCATTTAAGGTAGGGGTACGAGTATATGCATTCAGTGTCATCGTCCAATCTGCCAGTGCTGCCGGGAATGGTAACACAGCACTCGTGTTGGCAATCGCCTGAAATGAATCCTGGATTTGCTGTACATGAATTTTTGGCAGGTACACCCTTCATCATTAAAGCCATGGCCATCATCAGAAACAACGTCAGATTCAAAATGAAAATGAGCTTGCCTTATTGACACAGTTTGACAAGCGTTGTGCTTCAATCTCAAGCTTTTGTATTTTCTTCTTAAAAAATGAATCAATTTACCAGTATGTATTGATGATAAGGGCACCTGGATTACATGGCTGATGGTAACCATGACTAATACTATTAATATAGCAATGGATCTTTATTAAAAAAGAATAAAGATTTGTATTGATATTATTTACCTGTTAAGCGATCATTTGTGATGTGAATTACAAGCATTGATGGAAAGAAAATCTGTGGAAATCCAATATTAATGGAAAGAAAAACCGGTGGATGTAAATAGAAACTCTCGACTGGGCCAAAGATCCATGTGTGAAGAATGGAAACTCTTGGGCCACTAGATGGGTTAACATATGTGTTTAATCCTTATCTTATCAAGTTTAAAATTTTTAATCTTTTATCTTATATTCTGAAATTTTTAGTTTTTAAACCTAAAAATTTGAAGATTTTAGGCCCTAGACAAATAGAATTTGTTAACTCTCCATTAAAGTGTGGATAAAATATTTACATAATCAATTTTCATAAATAAAAAATATAATAATTTAGTTTAAAAAGTTTCAAAATTAAAAAAGTTAGTAAATTAAAAGGAATTAATAGATGATTTTCTCACATACACTAGAACAATATTAGATATTTATAATCAAAGTGAGTGATTAACCCAATTTGAAGAAAGAATTCTAACTGAAATTAAAGAAAATTTCCTAGTTGAGTTAAGATAGAAAATCCAAAAGACTAGAAGAATATAGCCAAGAAATTTTCTTTAATCTCAATCATATTTCCTTTTTAGATTTAGCTAATCACTTGATTTGATTATAAATATTTAATATTGTTCTCATGTATGTGGCAAAATCATCCACTTGTAATCCCAGCTGGCTACTCCTCAATTCCTAAGATATAAAACTCATTTCATTTCCTTTATGCAAACGTGAATGAAGTTTTCAATATATATAAGCTGTTGTGCAGAATAAACAAGAGTAATATAGTGCAGAAAAATAAAAGAGAGGGAAGAGAATATCAAGCCGTGATTTATAGTGGTTCCTCCAACCCGGAGTACGTCCACTCCCCAAGCCTCCTTGCTCGAGAGTTCAATCCATTAGAAATCTCTTGCTTACGGGTGCAAGATTAAACCGAAATAAACTCTTGCTTGCGGGTGCAAGATTAAACCCTCACAAATGAATCTCAACTCACTCAACCCCTTCAAGGATTATCCCAATCCAAGAAGAATATAAAACCCTTGTAAGACAATTAACCCAAAAGCTCACAAGAAGAGAAGAAGAAGGAGATCCAGAACACTTTCAAAAACAAACCCTATTTTTCTATATTGTTGGAGCAGTTCGTCCTTCTTCATCCTCAGATCTAATTTTTGATGTCCTTTTAATAGTTGGTTGGGAGCCTTGTAATTAAACCCCTTTTAACCTTTCAAAGCCACCTCACAATTGCCCCAATTAGGTTCCACCTATTTCTTCTGACTTGTCTTGGAAAGTGCTGAGACATTTAGATCCCTTATGACCCATTAAGAATAAACGGATAGTTGAGCTGTCAAAATTTAACCTTCCAGAATTTTTGCTTCGAAGCCAAAAATATTGGTTCAAATCATTTTCGGAAAAAAGAAGTTCAGGATTGGTTCGAATCAAATATAATTGATTCGAACCCAGAACTCTGAACAAGGAGGAACATGAATTAATTCTAATCGTGGGGAAAGATTAGAATCTTTGGATTAATTTTCCTGCATACTTAGCACAAAAATAGATTAAATTCTTTTGAATCATAGTTTTAAATCATCATTAAAACACAAAGAGAACCTAACACCACTAATTATTTTTAATTTATTATTTTTTAATTTAAAAATTTTTAGAACTAAATTATTACATTTTTAATCTTTGAGGATTGATCCTATAAATATTTTATTCTCACTTAATGGAGAGTTAATGGACTTTGTTAGTTTAGGGCTTAAAATCTTCAAACTTTTAAGTTCAAAAGCTAAAAACTTTATAATATAAGGTGAGGAGTTACAAACATCAAATTTATTAAGATGAGAAGTCAAATGCATACTTTAGCCCACTAGATGTTCATGAACCTTTCCTCTGTTTAGATACGATATATATATATATATATATATATGGAAAAATGCATATTAGTTTTAACTTTTAAAATAAGGCCTAATTTTTAAAATAAATTGGAGTTCTAACCTTAAACTACATCATTTTATTTAATAAAAGCTTAATTCAAAATTTAAAGATCCATTTTATTAAATGCTGATATTTAAATTTAAAAATTGATTATATTAGAATATCTAATTGG